CCGCCATGGAACAATTTGTCTGATGTCGAAGCGAACTAAATTGAGCAACTGCTCACCTTGATCTGAAGTTGCAGGAATTTGACATACTGGACTGCCTCTTCAAGCATGGTGCTCATATCTACCTGCAAGATCAATACAAAAACATTGTTGATTTAGCCATTGGATCTTAGCATTTTTATTCATGTAGGCTACCAGTAGCATGAATGTTCAGAAGCATACTTTGGTTCCATTAGGCACAAGGGTCTGCAGTGTCTTCAGCCTCTCGTTGATCCTTTCCCTCCTTTTCTGCTCAAGCAAAGAACAGAGAATTAGTACTTCACATTCAGTTGCAAAAGATAATTCCTTCAGATGCGAAAGAGATGATTATTGGCAGTACCCTTGCATAGAGGCTCTGGGGATCGGTTGCCGCCCCGCGTCCAGCCCGGGCCTTGCCTTTTGGAGTAACACCAGCATCCGCAGACTCTTGAGAAGCATTCGAGTCATTGTCAGAGGTGCAGCAGCTCGCTTCGGTTTGCTTGGCATTCTTTGCTCGCTTCGGTGCAGCCTTCCTTGCGCATTTCCGACCCTGCAATTAATCAATTAGAGTCAGTATTCACACTAACAGCATGAACGTATCTTTCTAAAAGACATAGCCGGTGAACAGAATGATCAGTCATCCTCAGGACTTACTCTTGCTTGGCCCTCGATTTCTTCTTCCACCGAGTGCTTTCTCTTGTTAGTAGCACTGACCGAGTTGAGACCCTCGCAGCTTGACTCGCCGTTCCCGAACAAATCATGGGAAATGGTTGGAATCATATTCAGATACTCGATAGCACCTTGCTCCTGGACCAAGTTCAGGTCCTGTGGTGCAGTGCAGGAGCTGATGCCCAGGGTCTCACTTGAATCACCCAAATAGTAGCCCATACACTCGGATGGAACAGCAAAGCTACCATCATTGCTATCACTACATGCACTTGTATTAAGATCAGTGTCATAGAAGGATGGATGGGAAGCCTGGTACCAAGGCAGATCCTGCTGGGCATCCTCGCCATGGGAGGGGAAGGTGCCAAGCAGCTGCGCTATGATATCGGACTCCTCGCCCTGCGGCGGGAAGTCAAACATGGTCCAGCCAGCCTCCGAAATCAGGCCTCCAGCCTCCATTGAGATGTGAATTTGGGACTTGGGAGCCTTGGAGGCGAAGGGCGGCCTGGGGAGTGTGGTTGGAGGCACTTGCTGTTGAGAGGGGTGAAGACAAATGCACAACAGTTCAGGTGCTTTTATACTGTTCAGAGTTCTGAGAGGTTGCAGGGAACAACATCTGCAGAATAAAGAAAATGTGAGCATGAGTAAACAAAGGACAGTCAATGGGTGGCATGAAGTGTGTGGTGATAGGTTTGCGATCAGCAACAGACATTGGTATGTTGTGAGGATGTGAAGAGCTGAAGACGACAAGTTTGAAGAATTTCAACTGCTGGTTGGTGGGCAAGACAGTGACTTGTCCAAGATTACAGTTATGCGGCCTGTCTCCGAAGAAACCGCACAATGATTAGAGACATTTTACTAATCATTGGTCCATGATTCATCGAGGACAGGCAAAGGAAGTCTATGAGCTCTGAACCGGGATAGCAAGAGTTTACCTTGGAATAGAATAGAATAAGATCAAGACAACTATGTGCTCATGCTTTCTTTCTTTCAAAAATATGTGTACTGGTGTTGGTTAGAGATGGAATAAACAAAAGTAGGATATGCAAAGACATGCCTGCACGAACATGGTGGAAGGAATCTGAACATTCTTAAGAACTCAAAAGAGGATATATGAAAGCACGCCTCTATGGATATCACGGTCTTGATCTGCAAATAATTCTCACACCCTGTGCCCGCAGCAGCAGCAGCAGCATTGATGTTCAACACTTGCAAGATGTTGGAGGTTGGTATCCTGAAAGATTTACCACATTGACATTTTACACACGATAACCGACATCAATCTAGTTAAACTTTCTATCCTGAACTAACATAGAAATAAGTTTCTGCCAACAGCATCAAACCAGAGAAATGCAGTGATAATGGACCAGCAAAATGTGCTGAAAAAATGAACAGATCTGTATCATTCATTGTCATCACTTGGTTTCTTCATTCTAACGTATCCGAAGGTCAACATGGTAACATTACAGCAACATTCCCAAAAAACTGTGTTGAAACCCCAGTTAGATCTTAAATTCAGATTATGGCACGTTTTAACAATCAATGAGCATGTGCATCACCAGAATGGGTGCCACAATGTAGGTCTCCCTTTAAGGTGTCAAGTTTGCGTGACATCCGACATGGAGATCTGATCCTGCTATCCTCATGGGTAGGAAGTGATCTGCGTATATATCTAGTAATCAATAGCTGCACATGACTCAGATCCACCACAATGCACAAATCAGCTGTACTTCTGTCATGTTCTGAAAAAAGATTGCATGCCCCTCTTTGGTAAACAAGAACAACTAAGATGCTGGCAAGGAGAATGATTCAAAGGAAACAATACGAGGTTAGTTTATGGCCCATGATCCCTACCCTTTAGCTGTATCAAAGAAGCAAGGATGCCTCCGATGTTACGCGGCAAAATTGCATGCATATGCAATTATGCATTACAGAAGACCTAAACAGGCAAGCAGATATCATTAACAGAGTAGAATGAATAGCTTGACATGAGATCATTACTAAATATGCGGTTACGTTTATTTTCTGCTTCCTAGAAGGTCAACTAATAGCATGGGAAAGCCAAATTGCTTGTGAGATTACTCCCTTTCGAATATCCTAAAAGACATTCTCTTGTTAGTGTTTCCTAGCTTTTAAATTATGTGCACAAACTGGCACGAATAAACTATGTTGAGGAATAGGCTTCCCCTGCTATGGTTTCTGTGAAGAATAATAGTTTTTTAAGATGAACATAGCTGCTTGAAAAGATAGCTAAACTTACAGATCTAAGAATATCTCTACATGTTCCTTTTTCACTTCCTCAAAGTCATATCGTAATTTTAAGTTTTTGACATTATTATAAAATGGGAGGTTATGTTTTATAAACAAACATTATTTGTATAAATAGGAGTCCAATATTTTAAAAAGTATGTCAGTTAGTTTGTTTACCTGCTCATAGTAAATATCCGAGTAATGAATTGTGGGGAGGTGGGAGCAATTTACCATGTCAGCATTAAGTGATCACAATCCACAGGATTCTAAATCAACAAATATATTACTAAGTAAAAGCAGAAGTAAGAATATAAGAGTTGTGATATTTATGTCACTTTCAGTTGACAAAAGTAATGCAATATTGTTTACTATTTCATTATTTGTGTTGATCGCACAAAAGTCAATACGATAGTTTACCAAGAAACCAAGTTCCTCAATGTATTTTCCGAAGTTAATAGCAAGGGGGAAATTAGGGCACTAACCAGTAAAAATTGTTCACATTGCCGTCTAAACTAGTCAAACACAGATATTGTGCTATGACTGAACTATGTAGCTTCCAAACGAAGTCATGCATCGATACCAAAACATCAGATACAGTTTCCATTCAGCTTAAACATATTCAATGAGAAAACATTTTATCAAACCACAACCTAAAAAGTATGCAGGCACCAATGTCAAGATAATATATTTCTTTCTTCATATATGAAGATTGATAGTAGTTACACTGCCCCTATCCCCAGAAACCACAAAGAATTTCAACATTCATCAGTTAATGCCAGGCAAAAGAAGTCAAAGTAAACAGATGAAACTTTCGAAGAACATGAAACAAAATAGAAGTCAGAGATTATACATAATAGTTCAACGTCAAAAGGAAATCCTGAAACTATTCCCTGAATACATAAATAACTTCGAAGTCAAACAATACTCTGGCATCTTCGATTAGGACATCAGACAAGGAAGCATCAGAATTAATTCACAAATTGTTGACTATGGCTGCAAAAAGAACACCCTAGCAAAACATTTTGGCCATATAGTTTCGAGTTCCAACTTTCAAAAGCATAGCTCAGTTAAGCAATATTGCTACTCCGTTCCCAAATATAAGCCTTTTTAGAGATTTCAACAAGGGACTAGATACGGAGCAAAATGAGTGAATCTACACTTTAAAATATGTCTATACATCCGTATGTTGTAGTTCATTTGAAACCTCTACAAAGACTTATATTTGGGAACAGGGGGAGTAGTTAACAAAAATAGACCATGATACATGCTCAGAAAGAAATGAAATTCCAACTGGATACAAAACTACTGAAGTTCCTGTATCCTTTGAAATTACCTTCTCACAGGTAGGTAGTTCAATTATAGCATGATGATAACCCAAAAAATTCAAACAAGAACAGAATTATTGTTGGCAAAGATTCAAGATCCTGATCGACCTGAGCAACTAATTTTTATTTATTCAGAAGTGCAATTCTGTCTGGGGATTTTCCAACCATACAAGTACTAGAGGGAGTAGGTAAGATCAACCGCATGACATGGCCAGATGCAACTCATAACTCGACCGACACTAAGATGGTACAATGTACGTACATTTGAGTAGACACACATCAAACTACAAAAACATAACCATAACCCAACATGGCCAATGGTCATCAAAGAAACACATCCATGAGTGTACCAAGTACAGACACCACAAAAATCTCAGATAAATGCAGGAGATCTGAATACATCAACAAAAAATGGGTCGGCAATTTTCAGTCATGACAAGCACCAACAAAGCATGAAAGTAAATAATGCTAGCAAGTAGCAACAGAAACAAACTTCAGTACAGACTATCCTTCATTGACATGAATAATTTGCACTGTTTTTGACAGAAATAAGCCACATATTACAGGGAACAACAATCAAGTCTGCATTCCCAAACAGTTCCAGAAGGACAAATTTAAAGATAAAACTTTTATTGAGCAGCTCCAGATAGGAACTAGCTAAGATTGTAACGGATATCTTTGCTGCTTCCAGTATAGTTCCAGAAGGGAAACATCATTGGAACAACTCAAGAGTCACAACTTGTTTCATACTGACTCGTCTGCCTGCACTAGGACAAAAACTGGCATGTCCCCCAACTTGTCCCGGCCCTGAAATACATGCCATGGTTAGGACATACATGCAGAAGGGAAACATCATTGGGACAAACCAAAATTCTGATGATAAGCAACTATAAGTCATATCTAACTAGAATTCAGTTTTGCTCATAGATGAAAATTATGATTCATTAAGCTGTAAAATTCATGACCTTAGGCAGTTAATTAATTATTATTTCAAAAACTGCAGAAAAGCGTAGTTTAAGTGTTTCGCTGGTGAACTTCTGATCATGGCTTGCACATCTTTCCTTCCTTGTAGCTAGCCTCAAGTCATAAGGTGCATTCTCAGTCTGCTTGTACCAATGGTAGTGTGCATGAACTAGGCATTGTGTTATTCAACTGCACGAGGATAAAAGCACATGGAGCACGAAACTGTCTAATCCTAGTATATTTAGGTGGATAACAAGTGGTATAATCCTCGATAGAATCACATCAATGTGAAGTTCCTTTGTCCTTTATTCATGCAACTAATTCTCATAGTTGCATGCATTAACTACATGAAACCAAACCTCCCAATGATTACTTATCAAAAGCTAACCAAACAAAAAATACATGAATGGAAAATTCCTAATAAGAGCATGACAATAATTCTAACAATTAAGTATGACCAATGTTCTGTTCACCTAAACAGGGAGATATGCATTGGAAGTAAAATGTACCTTCAGCTCTGGCAGTTCAATAACACAGGCACACTCAACCACCTTTGCTCCAACACGCTCTACAACGTAGGACATCATTAAGATAAATGAATCAGCATATATGATAAACAATAGGAAAAAATGTAATAAGTTTGGGGTGCAAATGGGTAACCTTTAGGGAAACCCTCTAACCATCTTTTGTTCAAACAAATGAACTAGGTTTCTCTTTAGTTCAAACAAATGAACTGGTTTTCCAAAAGTGATGTGAGCACCCTAAGGGTCACCAATTCACGCCTCTGCTATATAAGCATAATTGGACAGCATTCCATTCGGAACTTGGGAGGTATGTTACCATTTGAAAGTGCATTCAATCCCAGTGGGTTTTGATGATAAATAACAAGCCAAATAACAAGCCATTAAGGGGCTAATAATTTTCATGAGTGAAAGCTCCGATTTAGTCTCACGGAAGTGAAGTGAACCGATATTAGTGTATCCCCAAACGGAGAAGTTAAAAGATGACATCAAAACCAACAGAACATTAGTGTCCCTAGTCTTAAGTGATCAAGCTTACATTGGGTGTATATATGCAAGTCATACTGTTAAGGGGGGTTCCATGGAACGCTCGCAAAATAGCTCAATGCACATTACTCGAACCTTGCCACGCAAAGACAAAATTCTTACCTATATGCAAACCAAATCTATACAAGCCAGAGTATTTGGGTTGGAGCCAGACAGACCAAGCTTGTTTTCATCAGGCCAATCCAAACCCCTCGGCCAAGAATGGACATGTTTGGGCTCCCCATAGAAGCCTTTGTGGCTCCCTATGATGAGCAGCCAAAGTGTCCCGGGTGGAAACCGAAGTCTCTAGATCTGACCCAGACTGTCCGGATCTGGATTGATTGACCCAGTATGAACGCCTCGGCTGTCCCTACACATACCTGCGCTACCTCGGGAAGCTTTTGTGGCTACCTATATTGGGCATCCAGAGTTTCCGGGTGGAAGTCGAGTTCTCTAGAAACCGAGAGTCCAGGTGGGAAGCAGTTGGTCGGTTGTGCGTGGTAGCTGCCACATCGGCCAAAGTGGTTGTTGGTTATTGAATCCAGAGTGCTGGATCCGAGTTGGACAGTTAACTGTCAAGGTTTTCGCAGAAAAATCCAGACAGCTAGTTTTAGAAGGAACTATTTAAATACTTTGCATATGCACGAATGTGGACATTTAATCTATGAAGGATTTTTTTTTTATGATCAAAGTTCAAAGATGTCGGCTAGAGAGGAGGGTGAATAGGCAACTACCAAATTTTATTCCAAATTAGATATTTTCTAGAACTGCAGAACTGAAATATTTTATGAATATGAATTGATTTTCTTAAAAAAGTTAAACCTTTTCAAATAAATGCAGAATTAAAAGGTTCTCTCACACAAAGCTAGGTAGAATAAACTATATGAGCTAAGCAACTAGTGGCCCTAGCAACCGAGGTAACAAGCTAGTAAAGTAGGCGGAAAGAGTAAACCAACGAGAGGACAATTTGTCGCCGAAGTTTGGATCCTTGAGGGATTTTACGTGTTGAGGTGTCCGATGACAAAGGTCAGGTCTGGCTCTCTCTCTCTCAAGCTTATTCCTCTCAAAGGAGCCCCATGTATTTTCCTTTCAAAGGTGAACCATAGCCTTTACAAACTTGGTGAGTCTATCGACAAACTATGAAGCTCTCAAGGGACTCCAACCGTCTAGAAGACCCTACCAAAAGAAATAAGTTTGATGAATCTTTGGAGATGAACTGGATGCATCTCTCAGTGTAGATTTCAAATCTCAAACATGTCCTTGGTCTTCCTCTCAAGGATTATCACTAGGTACTTCGAGAGACGTGGGAGAGCACTTGAGGATGAGGAACCAGGAAATTGGCTGGCAAAAAGCTCCATGTGGTTGGCAGCTATCTCAAGTTTGGGGTGGGGGTTATGTATTTTGCAAGTTGCAACTCAAATGAACCTTGAATAACAAGGTTTTCCATTCACGCATTTAAGATATTTTCTACACAGGAATAAAGCACGTTAAGAACTGAACATAGAAGCTCACCAATAAGTTTGGCAGCGGCACAAAGGGTTCCCCCTGTGGCAATTAGATCATCCACAATAAGGACTCGGTCATTGGGCTGCACAGCTCCTACGTGCATTTCAATTTTGTCAGTGCCATATTCCAGAGAATATTCTTCCGATATCACCTCACCTAGTATAAATATGCAACATTATTAGCTAATGCATCCAGTTCGAGACCTGAAGTATACCTGTTCAATAAAAGCAACTTCTGCATATTAAGCACTGAAAGAACATACCAGGTAATTTTTTCGGCTTCCTTATTGGAACAAACTTTGCACCTATGGCTAATGCAATGGGAGGACCAAAAATGAATCCTCTGGCTTCAACACCTGATAATAATAGCAACAAATATGATAAATTAACACCAGAGAAAATAAAAACCACATTTACAGTTTTGTCCTTTAAATAATAGGAAAATTAAAGACAAAAGGCATTCTGCTTAATTTCACATTACCAGCAACTACAGTTATGTCTTTGTCCTTGTACCGCTCGACAAAGAGGTCACTGGTGTCACGGAATGCCTGCGGATCGAGAAGCAAGGTTGTGATGTCCTGAAACAAAATCCCTGCATGAAGAAACAACGAGATACATGATTAAATTAAATAATTATTATTCCTTGCATGTAACAATATAGATCACACATGATCCTGCTCTAAAGGTACACTTGCCATTTACCAACAGCTCAACACCACCCAAACCAATAGTTCACATGTCGCCCATCATTGCAGAAAAATCAGGGCATGACTATAAGCAAATTGCTACCAGCCAGAATCAATTCCATGTTCCACAATTTAAGTCCCTGTTCACTAGCCTATAAATGATAAGTAATTGTATAAATCTACCATTAAGAAATCTATGGTAGTCTCCTGTTTGCTTAGCTTCCTACACAAGTTGTTACAGCTGTTGGCAAATGGCAATGGCAATTGACACATCCTGCTTGTAACGACTATTGGTTCACCATAAAAACACAGGAATTTCTTACTTCATTTACCGCAGCAGCAATATGCTACAACACCAATTTACACTATTTAGTTAGTTCTAAGTTCTAACCTAGGAGATGTATGGTCTATACACTTGTGAGCTGAAGTTTACCTTACCAAACTTTCACGATTGTCTTGAGTAAAATATGGCTGTCGTTTTGTTCGATGCCATGATTTCGATAAGATTTTATATTCTCCAGCACTAGCTCAGTTATTTCGCAACACCTTATAATGGTCATACTAAAATTTAGCGTGGTTTACATCTGCTCCACTTGAGCAAAATACACCAAACCGGCGTCCACCCGCTGCTACCTGTGAAGTCTAACAAATGATAACCACAGGACAAAACCGCGTAAACCACAGGGACTAGCATAGCTTGGCCGACTTCCGCGACACACCAGGTAGCAACCCGCCGCCGGCCCCACGGCCACTGGGCATCCACCAGATCGACCCACCCACCCGAGCGAGCAAGCGAACGGCTAGGGGTTCTAGAGGGGGGAGCGGGGAGAGGCATCGACGATGTGCACTCACCTGGCTTGGGGAAGTTGGGGATGGCGCGGATGCTGGACGCGATCCGCTCCACGCGCCCGTCGGATGCCATCGCGACCGCCGCCGACCCTCGCCCGCGCCGAAGCCGCACGCCTCCGGGGGATCCGAACCGCAGCGCGACCGAGCTCGGCGAGCGCGCGCCGCCGGGGAGTGTCGGAGTCGGAGTCGGGGCCGGCGCGGTGGGGCAGTGCGGGGTGAGGAGGAAGCGAGAAGGGAGCTCTTTAACTAGCTGCGCCCTCGCCGCGAGCGCCGTCAATTATAACGGCGACAGCCCGGGGGAGAGGTCAACCGGAGCTGACACGTGGGTCAATGTTGAGGGCCGGTCCCACCCGTCATTGTGACTGCGGTTCGTTGGGATTGCGCAGGCGTTGTGTTCTGGGTTTATTTTGATTCGCTCGCCGCCGCGGGGTGGCGGGCCCGAGGGGTGCGCGAGGTTCATGCGGCCTCCACCAACCGGGAACGGCTTCGATATGTGGGCCCTCGCCGTGGAGGGTTTGTTGGGCGGCTGACGTGTGGGCCCGCCGCTGCCCAGACGAGACCGGTACGACGGCCTTTCTCTTGCCGTCTCGCGTAAAGGACATAGTATATTTCTGGAATTTTTTTAGAGGATATTTCTGGATTTTCGTAAGAGGTAAATGCACCACTGGTGCTTAAATTTGCCATGAATTATCAGTTTACTGTATGAACTTATGGTGTACAGATAATGGGGGTAGACTTGTGTGAGATCTCACATTGAATGAGATCGATTTTAAAAAAATAATACATGTTCAAACGTTCTTAAATTTTTTGTAGACACTCATCAATGTTTGATATAAAATCTCAAAAAAAATCATCTCCTAATTCAACTTACATCAATAGAAACAAAAAAGACAAATTCGAATATGAATAGTGTCAATCTTCATATTCGAATTTGTCTTTTTTGAATCTCTAAATGTACAACGAGTTTTGAGCTGGGTTTTTTGGAACTGTAGACATGCCCCACATAAATGTTGTCAAATAATTTTAGATTCTTTCGAAATGTCTAAATATGATTTCTTTTGGGGGGGAGGGGGGGGGATTGATCTCATTATCTCACCTAAATGTGAGATCTTACACGTCTCCCCAGGATGTCTCTCGGCCTCTCGCCCGAGTGGTGTCAGATGCTCCCGCTAACCCACCTTGTTTGTACAACTATCGGCTACTCTTCTCCTTCTGCCAACGCAGATAGCTGTAGCGGTGCATGAATAAGTAAATTTAACGAAACCGGTATGTACCCGTGAAGTATCTGTCGATCATGTCAACATTCAAGATGCACGCTGTCCTTTGACTAATAAACTAGTAAGTCTTTTATGGGTTGAACTACATTTCTATACCAATCTGACACCACCTGACCAATACATGAACATGCCCCTACAACCTTTCTATTTAGTCATGCATGTGTACTCCCAGACCACTCAACGTATAATACTAACATTTTACTTTCTTGTTAGCTATTAAATGATATCTTTCAAATAAATGTTTTTACTTTTAAATATTTATATATATTTGAATTCCTAAAGACAAGATCTTTAAAACAAGACCAATATTCAATATATTTTAGCGTAGTTTAAATTTTTACCATGTCATTCGCTTTGGCATTTCAAAAAACGGATTTAACTCATTTCCAAAAACTCGTTTCACTTTGTTTAAAAAACTGATTTCACAATTAAGAAGAAAAAATGAGTCATTTGAAAATACATATTTGACTCATTCCAAAAAAGGTTGGACTCATTTTGGAAAATTAATTTTATTCATTTTAAAACATTGATTTCACTCATATCAAAACACATATTTAAGTCATTTCAAAGAACCGGTTTCACTCACTTCGAAAAGGTGATTTCACTCATTTTGAAACGATGTTCTCACTTATTCCAAAACACATATTTCACTCATTTACAAAAAACAATTTCACTTATTTCGGAAAATAGATTAGGGTCGTGTCAAATAACAAATTTAACTCAATTTAAACACCGATTTCACATGTTTGGAAACACATATTTCATTCATTTCAAAGAACAGGCTACACTAATTTCATAAAACTGATTATACTCATTTAGAAAAAACTGATTTCACTATGTTAAAAAAATGATTTCACTCATCTGAAAAAACTGATGTCACTCATTTCAGAATAATAATTTCACTAAGTTGAGAAAACAAATTTCACTCATTTTCATATTTCAGTTCGAAATGGATTCCAGTCAATGCGAGAAATTGATTTCACTCGTTTAGAAATTGATTTCACTCAAAGCAAAACACCGATTCCACATATTTCCAAAAACTGATTTGACTCAATTCAAAAAACAAATTCACTTGTTTCGTAAAACCGATTTCACTCATTGAAAAATGTTCAAAATAATTAGTTTCATATGTTTTACATGACTAGTTTCAAAATTCTGAAATAACAAGTTTCACGTATTTCACACCCAAAAATGTGTCATGTGTATGACAAACATATTTCACTCACTTTAAAAAATTGGTTTCACCCAATTCAAAGATCATATTTCACTATTTTCATAAAGCTGATTTCACTCATTTCAAACGTTGAAATTTAAACGTGTTTGAATGTATTCAAGATTGATCTTGTTCTAAAGGTCTTGGCTCCAAGAGTTCAAATATATACAAAGTTTCGAAAATGAAATTTTTGTTTTGAAGACATGAACAATGTAAATAGTGAAAAGGCAATTAAAAGTGATGGATTTAGAGATGAAGAGAGAAGAGATAATGTCAGAGACATGCATGTCATGGTGTGTACCATGAGCAGTAAAAAGAGAGAGGCAGGACCATGCATGCGTCCTTCGCATGTGCATGGTGGGCCTGATCTGATGAAATACGATGGCTTAAATAGAGAAAATAGAGGAATACAAATGTACACAACTGGCAGCATGCTATTGGTGAGAGAACCTGCTGAAATCTGAGATGGGCTCTAGGCCCATATTGCAATTTCTGAAAAATCCCTAAGGGCCCATGTGGGTTATATGGCACTAGGTGTGGTGGGAAGTTTAGTCCCACCCCGGAAGTGGAAGGAGAGTTGGAGTGGTTTATAAGGGTTTCTCTTCTACATGCTATTGGAGCTTGAGAAGAGAAGAGGCCCTCGCGCACTCCTCCTCCGCCGCCCGCCTCGCCACGCCACGCCTCGCCTCGTCACGACGCGCCGCGGGTTGCGGGATTGAGCCGAGCCGGCTAAGAATCTGGCAGATCCCTTTACAAAAGGGCTATCACGTGTTGTGATAGATAATGCATCGAGGGAGATGGGTATGAGACCCACATGAGTTGCCATGGTGGTAACCCAACCTATGTGATCGGAGATCCCGTGAACTAGGACCTGGGAAAACAAGCCAGTGGTGAACTGAGGAGAGTAACTATACTAACCCACTCCGTTGGAGATGCAATACTCTCGATATTGTATGGTAGGATGACTACGGTCTCAATGTGTTCCAAAGCTTATAAAAGCAAGATGCTATCCTACAGAGCGATCTTTGGAGGAACACACCTATATGAGCCCGACTGCTGGTCACAGTCTATGAGATTGGGGTGATCTCTAGTAAGCTCATGAATAGGCCAGGAGTGTGACTTATATGCTCCACCCGAGGGGTCAACCTTCGGCAGCCTAGTACTAGTAAGACATGTAGTGAAACTTCTTTACGCCAAACTGACAATTCAAGGCATAGTCCATTGTTCAGTTGTGAAGGAGTGTAGCCACTTGTTCTAGGTGAAGTTCAACCTTAACAGGTCTTTACTGAAACACTGGTATATCGAAACAGCAATTGGAACAGAGGACACAATGGGCCCTCGAGATCTGGTGGGGGATTGCTGAAATCTGAGATGGGCTCTAGGCCCATATTGCAATTTCTGAAAAATCCCTAAGGGCCCATGTGGGTTATATGGCACTAGGTGTGGTGGGAAGTTTAGTCCCACCCCGGAAGTGGAAGGAGAGTTGGAGTGGTTTATAAGGGTTTCTCTTCTACATGCTATTGGAGCTTGAGAAGAGAAGAGGCCCTCGCGCACTCCTCCTCCGCCGCCCGCCTCGCCACGCCACGCCTCGTCACGACGCGCCGCGGGTTGCGGGATTGAGCCGAGCCGAGCTCACACCTACGCGCTTATTTTTGCCAGTCACTAACGGAGAGTTTTCTGACAGCTGGGCCACGATCTGAGACGTCGGATCATGAGCTGTCACGGACTCGAACGTGGGTCGAGCCCACGTCTCTCCACGCGGCTGCGCCTATAAGTATGCGGTGTCTCCTAACCCTAGCCGCCACGAACAGATCACATCTGCTCACGCGCACGCCCACCCTCGTTCCTTTGCTGCTGCTGCCACCGGTGACTCCATCCCGTCCGCCACGTACACGGTCGACGGGAGAGCAGGTCTCCGAAACCACGCCCTTCTGGTTCCTGTACGGGGTGAGGGGCGAATAGGTTTTTGGGCAGCGATTACGCGACTACTCGCTTCCGATCGTCTACTTCCTCTACGTCCGCGTCGCCTTCATCATCACCATGTCCACCGACGCCGACCGTGCCGCCGCCGAGAAAGCTGAAGCCGACAAGAAGGTCGCCGAGGACGCCGCTGCTGCCACCAAAGCCGCGGCCTCTGCGTGGCCTACTGGAGGGTATAACTCGTTTATCCCGCTCCTGATTATTTTCATATTAGCAGTACTAGCAGTATGTGTAGATTTGTCTACTGTTTGCTTAGTACGTGCATGTTCAGATCAGAGTCAGTACGTCATCAACTTAGTCAATGCCATGCTAGTTATTTACTCATGGATTAATTTAATCGAGAAATTGCCAGGTCACAGGTCACGGGTCCGTATTGATGGGGAATGGCGCGAGTGCTTCTGTTCATGGTGTTGGCACGGTCGATCTGAAGTTTACTTCGGGAAGGATCGTGCAGCTGAAGAACGTGCAGCATGTCCCCGCCATCAAGAAGAACCTCGTTAGTGGCTCCCTTCTATGTAGAGAAGGGTTTAAGTTGGTTTTCGAGGCTAATAAATTAGTTGTTACAAAATATGGACTCTTTGTTGGAAAAGGTTATGAGAGCGG